TTTTCATTGCTTAAAGGTTTTCAGGTCTCTTGCCCTAGCACACTAATGTTAACAGAGCTACTTCACAATTTCAAGCAATGCTTTCAGTAATTAAAGCTGATGCTAGCTGCCTCCCCTCCCTTGATGCTGACACAAGGTAGAGAAACTGGCATGTTCTCAAGAATTATGGTCAGTGCTTAGAGAGAAGAGAACAGCCTAGCAGCTACTTGAAATAGAAGAGCAGCATTTTTAAAATTGGAAAGTGCAAAGGAGTACCCAGGAGAAGGTGGAAGAAGGAAGAGGAGGGGACAGATGCTGGGGGAATAGAGGAAATGGATGGGAAAGGATCAATTCTGACATCCATCAGAGTTTAAGTTTGGTGCAGTGTTCCATAGCATAGAAAGGGAAGCTTTAAAGAGTTTTACAGGATTTTAAAAATTGTTAATAGGTCTTCAAACTAAGGGTCAAGTGCCATCCTTATACGCTATCCATGTATGCCAACATATATCTGGGTCATTGCCATGAAAGGAATAAATCGTATATATGGACTAGTCCTGTTGTCTCTAATGGCCTCATCCAAAGTCCCTTGAAGTCAATGAAAGATTCCTCTCTTTCTCCAATAGAACCCCAGTAAAAGCCACAGCTCTTGTTGCAGGATTAATATGATATATTTCCTCAGCCCCTAGTTAATCTGGCCAAACTGGTCTGGATTACTCTAATTTGCTATGTTCAAAGCTTCCTTAGTTTTGTATATTAACTGGCAGTGCAACTTTATTTGTAGGAGACATTAGTATCCTCAATTATGAAAAAATGTAAAATATTGTTATAAGAAAATATAAGGCCTGCTCTTGTAGAAAAGTGACTGAATAAGATCATTCTGTCATTTTTATTGTGTCCTTTAAGAAACAGGGCAAAAATTCTGCCACATTCTGGCTTGTTTATATTATATTTTTTAAGCTTGCTCTGACATTGATATTCAAATTAGGCCAGGTACTGGGATCCTCAGGAGTAGGGCAGATAGTGAGGAGAGGAAATGTACAGGACAAACCCCAAGAATTTGATAAATTCATAATGAAAGTAAATAAGTAAATGAAATTCTTTAGAAGACTGGTAATGGGACACGAGTGATGCCCAAGAACATTCTGTTTTGTGTCCAAAGTAGAGTCCTTAGCTGAGTGATTTGGGACCTTGCTGCAGGTGATTGTTGGCATATCAATGTAATTATGAATTTTATTTATTATAAGATATTTTTCCTTGGAAAAAAATCTCCTTTTTGTTTTGATTTTTAATTTTTTAAAATATGCTTTGTAATAAAGTTGCACAATAGTCAATGAGAACACAATTAATGGTGACAAAAATACATAAATCCCACCCAAGTATGTGAAAGATGTGATTTTATATAACAGTATACAGGCAATTATACCCAATCATTGTGCAATCTGACTGTGCAAGAATCATAGACGTTAGAGATGGAAAAGTTGCTCTTAGATCACCCATTCTAACATGATTACACCCCTAAAGCTATAGCCAGCTGAAAATATTTGCAACCTACTGCGGTGCAGGCTCTTGCTGGGCAGCGCTTACCTCAGGCGGCTCTCAGAAGCGACTCGCGTGTCCAGCTCATAGGCTCAGGGTCACCCAGGGTGGCTTGATGCTCTGCCCCTGCCTGCAGGCACTGCCCCCGCAGCTCCCATTGGCTGTGGTTCCCGGCCAATGGGAGCTGCGGAGTTAGCATTCGGGCCGGGGCCAGCACGTAGAGACCTGTTGGCCGCTCCTGTGCCTAGGGGGTGCAGGCACCTGTCGGTCACTTCTGGGAGCCTCCCGGAGCAAGGACAGGTAGGGAGCCTGCCTTAGCCCTGCTGCGCTGCCAACCGGACTTTGGCCTATTAAAATCTCCCGTATTGCCTTTAATAGTCACAGGGAGATTGAGGCCAATTCCGGGAGACTCCCAGCCAATCCGGGAGGGTTGGCAACCCTAACCGGTGCTGGAGAGTTGACTTTTGCTGGTTCCTTGATTTGACTGAGGGGCCTTCTTTCGCTGCTCTTGGGCTGTCAACTAAAAGTACTGGCCACTTCGGAAAAAGTTGCCATAAGTTTGTGTGTATTTCAGTTTCTCCATCTTTAAAAAAGAGGTCAGTAATACCTTCTCTATCTCACAGAGATGTGAGGACTAATTCAGTAATGTTTGTTAGGTTCTATGAGATCCTTTAATGGGAGATGCTTTGTAAATGCAAAGCATGGAGTATTACTATTTTCATGATACTTCTTGGTGATATAGTGAGTTAACTACCATTAAATACTGTGCTAGTGATGTGACTAAATCCAAATGGACTGTTATAATAATTTACTGCTTTGTCTATATAATAGTTCTGCTTTTCATTGGATAATCAAAATTAGGTCATTCCAGTGGAACATTTCTATTTTTGTTTCTTTTGTGTAGCCATATTTGTACTGGAGATTCTGGGCTAACCACCACAATAGACTAGAATCTGTGTATAGAACAATGAGTTTTCATTTTAATATAACAGGCCAGAAATAGGTAAAATAGATTGATACAAGCAAAACAGAAGTAGAAAAGAGTAGAGAAAGATTAATTTAATACCACAGTAAAGCCGGGGGATGAGATCTTGATCCCATTTAAGTCAGTTTAGACTTTTGTGAGGTCAGGATTTCACCCAAGATACAGAATAAGATTTTGTTGTTTTAATTGAATATTGAATTTCCTTTAAAACCTTACTTAAAATTCTATTAAATATAATAAATTATTACTTAAGTATCCAACAATATACCAGACTGCTCTGGTTATAACTTTGCTCTTGCCAAAGAATATCAATGAATTGCTATTTTATCATGGGTATTGTATTATTTGCAAAGAGGAAGATACCCATTTGCACTGTAGCCAGAGCCAGGCTTTGATTTTTAGACAACCAATGGGGACCTGAGAGGGGAGAGAGACTTTTCACAGGTGTGTAAAGATCACTCCAGCTGCTCCTTCACTATTGTGTTGCCTTTGAAAGCTGGTTGCTGATGTCAGATTATGACAAGCAGCATATTCTCCGGCTTCCATTTCTGTTGAAGTCTCTACTTGTTTGTAGCATGCACCTGCAGTAACTTACCCACTACTGCGTTCTCAAGAGCAAGTTTGCAAAAAGATGGTGCTGAAGTGAGTTGGAAGTGTAAATTCTTAAATGCATAGATGATCCTCTAAAGGATTGATTTAAATAGCCTAGATATTTATCGGCTTTTGAAAAGTTTGCCTTCATAAGCTGAATTTTGAGGAGGAATATGAATGCCGAAATCAAACTGAAATATTCCTTGAGTTTTCAAATTTTTGTCTGCAGAATTTGACAGCTGCAAGGACTTGCATAAGAAAAGGAGATGAATTAATCAAAAACTGAATACCATATACCTTCATTTACAAGCCACCCTTGATTAGTAATCACTCCTGTTTAGTAGCCACAACTTTACTACAAAAACTACAGGAGCAAATAATTAACTATAATAGAAGCGATAGCTTCTACATGTATATATTTGGTATCTGCTGTCACCAGCAATAACACAGAGTGGTTGAAAGAAATGTTATCTTATTACAGTACTCTGGGACAAATGTATAATTGAGACAAATAGTACGTTTTGGAGATGACTGTACAGTATAAGAAAGTGACTGCTATGGGAGTGCATCTGAGTAGCTGATGAGTAAGGCTCCGTGTTTGTCACAGAGGTCACGGAAGTCATGGATTCTGTGACTTTCTGTGACCTCTGTATCTTCTGCAGCGGCTGGTGCACCTGGACTGGGGGCAGCCTGAGCAGCTCGGGCAGCCCCTGGGCCAGGCACACTGGCTGCTGCTGGGGCAGTCTCAGGCCCCCACACCTCGCAGCAGCAGGAGATCAGGGGCTCAGGGCTGGGGGTTGGGGTGTGGGGCGGTGCTTACTTTGGGGGGTCGCCTCAGAGGGGTGACAGCAACTCCCATCCCTCAGATCTTATCTCCACATGCTGCCTGCGCTTGCAAACACCGCTCCCGCAGCTCTCATTGGCCGCTGTTCCCAGCCAATGGGAGCTGCCAAACCGGGGCTTGGGGTGGAGCGGAAGCTGCATGTGAAGCTAGGAGCTGGGGTAGCCGCTTCTCAGGAGCCAGGTAAGGAACCTGCCCCAGCCCTGCCAACCCCTCCCTCCAGTACCCGCAGTGCCCGCCCCCCCCCCCCGAGCACCCGTGGTGCCCCTGGGCTGTGCCTTCCCCCAAGTACCCACAGATCCCCCTGGGGCTGCCCTCCTGAGCTGCCCCTCCCCCCAAAATTTTGTCAGGGGTATATAATAAAAGTCATGGACAGGTCACAGGCTGTGAATTTTTGTTTACTGCCCATGACCTGTCCATGACTTCCACTAAAAATACTTGTGACTAAAACATAGCCTTACTGATGAGAGATGCTCAAATAATGTCAGACACCTGCTCATGAAAAGTTTAGGGAAATGGAAACCAGGTTGAATTCAGTGTGTTCATAGTCCTTTATTATTTGCTGTTTCTTACTTGTAGTTTAGTTTGTATATATGTTTTTGAATAGCAAATTCGGGGTCTTTTGTTGAGATTCACTTAATCAAAAATGAAGTTCAGTTTGTGACAAAACAGTTTATAAGGGTTAGGTCATCCAATTGGGGAACAGAAACAATACCACATGACTTAGGTGACCAGTCACAAAGCTTGAGTAGTGAAGTCAAAATATCAATTAATTAACTAAATGCTCATAATGTATCCATCAAAATTATTTGAATGGATTTGCATAATGAACACATTCAGAAGAATCTAGATCTGTTTGTAGACAACTTGTAAACAGGAAAAAAGGTCTAAATTCACCAAATAAATTGTTCACAGCAAATATTTAACCAGCTTTAATTTGGAGATTGAAGTCTCTGATTGAAGTCCCTGAGACCTTCTATGAAAAAAATGCTTTATTTTCATATTTGTACTTTTAAAATTAATATTTTAATTAGCTACAATACTGAACTGTGTGTGTTCTGTCAACAGACCAGCAGTACTCCTGGTCACCTTCTCAGCACTTCAATGAAGAAAGATTCTCGCCTGCTCCGAGGAACATGAAAGGATTATCTGGTAGTCGTAACCAACCACAATTATGTTCTGCTCATACTTGTGGCTTAGCATCCCCTGAAGATTGTGAACATACCCACGATCATATCCACCATGGGCAGGAGCCAAGGCAATCCTATCTTCTCAGCCCTACAGAGAGCTGCCCACTGGACCATCATCGCTGCTCACCACGAAGCTCCATCCATTCAGAGTGCATGATGATGCCCATGGTTATGGGCGATCACATGTCAAGTAGCACTTTCCCCAGAATGCACTACAGCTCACATTACGAAACGAGGGACGATTGCGCCATGTCTCACGCTAACCCTAAGATTAACCGAATTCCTGCCAATCTCCTGGATCAGTTTGAGAAACAACTTCCTCTCCACAGGGATGGATTTCACACTTTACAATATCAGAGGACCTCAACAGCTGCAGAACAACGCAGTGAAAGCCCAGGAAGAATACGCCATCTTGTTCATTCAGTCCAGAAACTTTTCACTAAGTCTCATTCTTTGGAAGGATCATCCAAGGGCAATGTCAATGGGACAAAGGGAGACAGTCGAGGGGACGACCATCATCATGGACATCATTCCAAGCATAGCAAAAGGAGTAAAAGTAAGGAGCGAAAACCAGAGACCAAGCATAAATCTGGAATGAGTAGCTGGTGGAGTTCTGATGATAATTTGGACAGCGATAGCACTTATCGCACACCTAGCGTGATTAATAGGCATCATGTAGATCATATCTCCCACTGCTACCCTGAAGCTCTCCAGGGGCACTTTGGGGATCTCTCACTAAAGACTTCCAAAAGTAACAATGATGTGAAATGTTCTGCTTGTGAAGGGCTAGCAATGACCCCTGATGGTAAATACATGAAAAGGAGTTCTTGGTCTACACTTACAGTAAGCCAGGCTAAAGAAGCGTATCGCAAGTCATCCCTTAACCTAGATAAGCCTCTGATTCATCAGGAAATCAAACCTTCCTTGAGGCCGTGCCATTACCTTCAGGTAAAAGCCAGATTTGGTTAATATTTGTAATAGAAAAGCAATTAGTTATAATTTATGCCAGAAAGTCATTGTAAAATTACATGGATGCCCTGTAAATGTCTCTCAAACATTATGGTATTCACCTACTGCAGATATCTTGGAGGTGAGAAATCTGCAGTATTTATTCTTTATTAATAGGATTCAGATTGAAATGTGAATAAAATTGATGTAATGTTAACTAGTCTAATTTTAATGAATTTGTTTTCAGTACCTGGGTTTATACTGTATTTAAATCTTAATGAAGTCTGTGTTTCAGATTACATAAAGGGGCACTTCGCACAGCAGTTTTTGTCTAGAATAAATGTATAGAAGACCATTATAAATTAAAGATATTAAGCTAGTCAGGGTGAGAGCTTGAGAGATCTTTCCTTCTGTTCTGTCACTCCCACGTCTCCTCCCAAACCTTCTTAACAACACGGGGCTAAATTTACTGGTAAGCTCAGTTGCTTTTGCTGCTCTGATGTCATGATGCAAAGTAGTTTAATTGGCTGGAGAAACTGGGTTTATGGTTGCTTTGCATCCCTGAAGTGGTGCCAAGCAGCTGAGGGTACCAGTGAATCTGGTCCTGTCTCTTTAAGGCTTTGTCTGAAAAACTCAGGTGCTGAGCTGCATGACATTTAGTGTATCTAACATGAGGATGAAGGTGTGAGCCATTCCTGTTGAAATTTGAATAGATGGCCTCAGGGAGAGTAAATATTTCAAATCTTGATATTTAGACAACTTAACTAGCCTGAAAACTCCATTGCTGTTGTGAGTGCCTTCACTCTCATTTTCTTTTAAAATCAGATTTTCTCTCTATAGAAATTGTTTGTCCCATACGTTAACCCACTCTATCCCGTCTCACCTTTTGTGTCTTGAGTATCTCCAAATCTCTTTGGTTTCTGTGGAAGCCAATAAATGTAGAATAAAGGGAGGGATGTTTGTTCTAGTCCTGTGCAGTGCTTTTGGTCTCTCCAAGCTGAACGGGACTGTAACAGGGTGGTCTGGCCCCTTGAAGGAAGTGGGATTTCATGCAGCCAACCCTATGCCACAACATGGCCCTTTTAAGGACCAGGTATTTAAGGGAGCAGCAGACAAACAGGGGAATAGGGCCAAGGTGTTAATCAGAGAGCTATCTCCTGAATAGGATAAAAACCCAGCTGTTAATGGAGGAGAGAGAAAGGAGAGTCTGTGAAACAGCACTGGAACCCAGCACTTGCATGAGAGGAAAGTGATCAGAAACAGCCAGCATGGATTCACCAAGGGAAGGTCATGCCTGACTAATCTAATCGCCTTTTATGATGAGATTACTGGTTCTGTGGATGAAGGGAAAGCAGTGGATGTATTGTTTCTTGACTTTAGCAAAGCTTTTGACACGGTCTCCCACAGTATTCTTGTCAGCAAGTTAAGGAAGTATGGGCTGGAAGAATGCACTATAAGGTGGGTAGAAAGCTGGCTAGATTGTCGGGCTCAACGGGTAGATCAATGGTTCCATGTCTAGTTGGCAGCCGGTATCAAGTGGAGTGCCCCAAGGGTCGGTCCTGGGGCCAGTTTTGTTCAATATCTTCATAAATGATCTGGAGGATGGTGTGGATTGCACTCTCAGCAAATTTGCGGATGATACTAAACTGGGAGGAGTGGTAGATACGCTGGAGGGGAGGGATAGGATACAGAAGGACCTAGACAAATTGGAGGATTGGGCCAAAAGAAATCTGATGAGGTTCAATAAGGATAAGTGCAGGGTCCTGCACTTAGGACGGAAGAACCCAATGCACAGCTACAGACTAGGGACCGAATGGCTAGGCAGCAGTTCTGCAGAAAAGGACCTAGGGGTGACAGTGGACGAGAAGCTGGATATGAGTCAGCAGTGTGCCCTTGTTGCCAAGAAGGCCAATGGCATTTTGGGATGTAGAAGTAGGGGCATAGCGAGCAGATCGAGGGACGTGATCGTTCCCCTCTATTCGACATTGGTGAGGCCTCATCTGGAGTACTGTGTCCAGTTTTGGGCCCCACACTTCAAGAAGGATGTGGATAAATTGGAGAGAGTCCAGCGAAGGGCAACAAAAATGATTAGGGGTCTGGAACACATGACTTATGAGGAGAGGCTGAGGGAGCTGGGATTGTTTAGCCTGCAGAAGAGAAGAATGAGGGGGGATTTGATAGCTGCTTTCAACTACCTGAAAGTGGGTTCCAAAGAGGATGGCTCTAGACTGTTCTCAATGGTAGCAGATGACAGAACGAGGAGTAATGGTCTCAAGTTGCAGTGGGGGAGGTTTAGATTGGATATTAGGAAAAACTTTTTCACTAAGAGGGTGGTGAAGCACTGGAATGCGTTACCTAGGGAGGTGGTAGAATCTCCTTCCTTAGAGGTTTTTAAGGTCAGGCTTGACAAAGCCCTGGCTGGGATGATTTAACTGGGATTTGGTCCTGCTTCGAGCAGGGGGTTGGACTAGATGACCTTCTGGGGTCCCTTCCAACCCTTATATTCTATGATTCTATGATTCTAACCCAGCTACTGATGCTCTGGGGAAACTGGCTTGAAGCACTGCACAGCCTCATGAAGGAGGGCTGTGGACTCCCTTAACCAGGGGATAGGGTTTGGGCCAGCTATGCCCAGGGAGACTGTATTTTTGTAAAGACTAGGCCCCAAGAAAGTGAATATAACTTGATTGCAGTTAAATATTACTTAAAGTAATTTGGGAGAAGCAGGAGGGAACGAGGATGGCATGTCAGCAGGGCCAAACCCATGCCGCCAGGGGGTCAGCTGTGAAGTAGCACTCTTCCCCCAACAACCAATGCTGCAAGAGCTGTATCTTGTCAAACATCTGTAGAAACATTCCATATCTTTCCAATTTCTGTCCTTTATTTCACTTTCTTTTTCTCCGTCCTTTCTGTGTTGCGCTCTCTCTCTCTCACTCAATCCTGTCTTTGTGTCTTCTTCTTTCTCCCCTGAGCAACTCTCAGTTCTTAACCCCAGTTAGCCTCACTCCCCCACACTTCATTCTGCTCAAATGATCAGTAGTGAAACAGTTAATGCTGAAATTGGAAGCGTTATCATTAAGCTTTCGAGTCTACAGCCCAGTGAGATGAGTGGGATGCAGGAGACTTCATTCTTCTCAAAATCATTATTTTAGGCTGTTTGCAAATTCAGGAAAATATTAGAAAGGAAGGACAGTCCAAAGATTAGGATTCTAAACTAGGATTTGGGAGGCCCGGTTCAAGCTTGTACTTTGCCAGAGACTTTCCTGTGTGACGTTGGGCAAATCATTTAGCCTCTCCCTCAGATCTGCATCTGTAAAATGGGGATAATAGAACTTTCCTAACTCATGGGATATTTCAAGGATAAATTCATTAAAGATTGTGAGGTGCTTAGATGCCACAATAATAGGAGCCACAGAAGTACCAAAAAAGAGTACTGCACGTAGCTCTATATTAGAGAGAGTTTTTTCAGAAATATGATGGTTAATTTTGTATTGAAGTTTGTATTCTGTGGACTCTGAACATGACATGTAGGTCACATAAATCCATCAAGCTGGCTGGGTGTTAGACACCTCTGCACTAGACCTAGTTGGGTAAGCAAGTATGAGAAATCCCATTCTACAGATGACGTAATTAAAAAGATAGCTTTGAGGCATTTTCTTTCAGATGTACTATCTATTAGATGAGACATGAATCATTCATATAAGAGAGTTGGGCTGTGTTAGCAGCTCTGTCACATATTTCCTATCAGAAGTGGATTAAATCATTTGTTAATCTCCCTGGCTTCAGTTACATCATGTGTAAAATTGGAGAATATTTTCCTACCTTACATGGGAGTGCCTACTAAATGATAAGATTTACTCAGGCTGGTCAATCAGAAAGGTAGAGACAGTTCTCAGGACCCCGTGGTAAAAGTAAAGGCACTGCTAGCACCTCTTTTTGACAGACATATTTGGAAATGGATCCTGGCTAGTTCAGAATAATTGAAGATATTAAGGTGTTGATTATTCAGCTAAATCAGCCATGCAAAGCATTTACCTGAGGTGTCCACATGATCAGTTTTGCAGAAAAAAAAAAATCCATGTAAAACCTCTCTGGGTATAGCGTTAAAAGTATGTGACATTCAAAGGTTCAAAGACAAGGGTGTTTTCCATACCAAATTTAAACTTCGAACTGTCCCTTTAGATCGTGGCCATGTAACTATGGAATCCTAGGCAGATATTTTTTTTCACACAGAGGAAGTGTATATTTTTAACTCCTTTCTGTTTATCTTGGGTATTTATATGGCCTGAATCACTTTTGGTATCGGAGCACCTCACAATTGTCCATCTATTTATCCTCACAACACCCCTATGAGGTAGGGAAATGCTACTGCCCCCCATTACAGGTGATGATCTGGGGCGCAGAGAGACCAGTGACTTGCCTGAGGTCACTTAGGAACTCTGTGGCAGAGCCTGAGGTCTGGCGCTTAAATCTAGGTGTCCCAAGTCCCAGGCTACCCCCTAATCACTGTCTCATCCTTACTCTTCCTCTTGCCGAGAAACAGCTGAACTGTGTGTACTCAGATTTTCATCTTTGGGGAGTGACCAAGCCAGGAAAATTTCAGTGTGAAAGATGACAATTTTGAAAAAATATGAATAACTGAAAACAGAGGGTTAGAATGGAAACTCTTGTGCAGCTTTAACTATAGTGGTTGCTGCTGCTCCCCAAAGAATTTATCCCTTTATGTAGGAAGATGTTGGGAGCAAGGAAATGTCTATAATCTTCAATTATTGGATTCTTTGGCTAATTAGGTACAACACATTTGAAGCTGAAGCCTATTATTTGATTTATTTTACTGTTTGACATGAATCCCTAGGTGTGACAAGGATTTTCAGGGAGAAAGCTGGAAGTGAACTAAGTATCAATAGTAAAATTATAAACTTAAAAGGATTTTACAGTTTCCAGTATTCAAATATCTCTGAGCACAGCTGGAAGAGAAAAGGAAAGTACTTCAGGCAAAA